TTGATACAACGTGTGCATGTACCTGCCTCAGATCCATACAGAATCTTGGCAGTTAAACGATGTACAGTGTACTGAGTCTATTTACTGGTGTTACACGATAATGATAGGGGGGGTACGCGCTTATGCGCGCACGTGTGAAACGTGGAAAGCGGTAGAAATCTCAACACATGCTTTGTCGCACGTAGCCAGTCTGCCGGCCGTGATAAAGTATTGACAGTAGGGATCACACTGTTGTATCCTATAAAAAGTTTCGGTAATACGGACTTTTAGCCATTTGAACAGATGGCGGAACCGTACAGGTGAAGACACAGCCACGCTGTTTTTGTAGTATTCTATCATCAGGATTGCATGTAACAATCGTCTCGAATAGAGACCCGCGCGTTACAGCCGCAATTTGACGAATTTTGGTTGAGGTCCGTATTACCAGATTGAATAACGAACTACTTGATTTATAGGAACGTGTAAGTGCATGTACATGCGTAGAACGGCATACTCTTACTCATTGAGTATGCGTGAAAATGTAATTAATGCTTCTACAAGCCTTTTATTTATCACCGTATCCTTATGTATTTAACGCATCCATGATGTCGGATTAGACTTGGTTGGAGGGATTGCTGATGCTTATTGATTCGCTGATGTTAGCCCGGCTGTAACGGGGTTACAAATACTCTGGTAACAGGTGTGTGTGTCACACCAGATGGGCATGGTGTGACCACACCCAAACAAGAATACGGTACGGGCTTGGATAGCCAGTAGTTATACATGTATTTAGATTTTACTATACATATTTAGGGAAATCTATGCATTTAAAATTAGGCGGCTTTGTCGCAAATACCAATTTATAAGGTCAGTTTTGAATTCAAAACGAAGAAAAAATTAGCCTTGGGTTTAGGCTATAATTACTCTTGGAGTAAGCGGATTGCGATCCGCTAAACTCGTACTTGTTTTGAGTTTAGAGCGAGAGGTCGGTGACCTAACTAACGCTTCCTCAAAGCGCAAGGCTACAGCAGCCCCGCTGCGCTTGGTAGCACTTGTAGTCAATCTACACCTGAGTGATCCTCTGTGAGGATGGAGGACTTTTTTTTGCCCCAGGGCATGCAGGACGGGCTTAAGAAGCTGATGTCCTTGCTTGGCTTTGAGGGCGTGCAACACCTTGCTACACAAGGCCCCGAAGTAATCGGTGCGCGTCTAGAGGCGTTTTCAAATTACGG